ATAACCTCATTATTATACACCTTTGTCTTCCGGTCAAACCCTGGAGGACGCTTACGCTCGAAGCATTCCATATTTGGAATTCGCATTTTCTAATATGGTAGGATGAAATATCCCGTTAAATACAGCAAAATTACGACACGCTGTAACTTATGAAGTCACGGTGACAGATGAATAATAATAATTATTATATTCGGAATGTCAAAATAAAACAAAATTTAGGATTTACAGCAATCATTGCCTCGTGATTCTACTTCTGTTTTGTCAAGGATTATATAGTCATCTCTTACAACTTTGTTGACGACAGGTTTCACTTCCGGTATTCTCGTGGCTGTAACCAGAAAAATACAAACTTGTTAAGATCATTTTTTTCATTACATTACATTACCAGAATACATAGAATAATTTCTTTGAACGTATATTTTTTTTTGTCTTGACAACAGTGTATACGAGTCAAACAACAGTGTATTCTAGTCAAACAAAGTCTGGCGATAAAGAGAAGAGCGACAGCGTAAAAGAGTCAGACAACAGGTAATCCAGATTAACAGTGTATATTTAGTAAACTGAAGTATATATCGAGTAAAACAACAACAGTTTACTTACGCAAAACAGCAGTTTATATTAGTCAAATAGCAGTTGATGTATAAGAATCAAGTAGATGTGTTATATGAACATACAACTCACCAATAGCAGAGAATATTTCTTTCACATTATGACCTGTTTTGGCGGATGTTTCCATAAATATTAAATCATTGTTCATCGCATAATTTTGAGCTTCCTGGAAATACACCATACATGAAATATACAACTTCTGTGACGTAATGGTTGGATAAAGAGGTGGATACATACCTAATTGTGGAGTCTTCATAATTAGTGATGTATACACCATTTTAAACATCCATCCATTCTCTAAGATGTACCGTACTCAAAGTGTAAGTTAAACTATGCAATTGAAATATTCATTCCAAAACATAATCTTCTTTGTGATATTGGAAAGCAACATCAGGTTTTTAGTTTAGGAATTAAAAAAAAACGTTCTTCCCACACACCATCATAGTATACTTACCTCTGCCGTGACTACTCGTTTTTCCCGAAGGTCAAATTTATTTCCAACCAGACCAATAACTATATTTTCATTTACCCGTTCATGTAGCTCATTTACCAAGCTCTTAGCCCTATTAAAAGAATTCTGAAATGATACAATTTAGTATTCTTATGCATAAATATAATTATGATCCAACGTGACAATTGACGTATGTTTCCCACAGTTTACTTTATTGTCACATCAACTCGGACTAAATTAGACAAGAAATATAATCATTGTATCTTTACCTCGTACGTAATATCGTAGACCACCAAGGCAGCCTGTGCATTTCGATAATACATGGGCGTTAGAATGCTATATTTCTCAGCTCCCGCCGTATCCCAAATGTCAAATTTCATCTTACTGCTGCCCATGTCCAGCCCACCAACCAAGAACGCGGCTGAAAACAACAACACAACACATTTTGAAATGTGTTCAGGTGAATACAAATGAATGGGGTTTGTGATGTGGAACACACGACATCTGATTGATTCGCCCGTAACAGTAACATGGTCCATTCTTTCGGAAGAAGGTTTGCGAAACTTGACTGTTAATCACAATATAAAGTGTTATATTGTATATTAATATACATCTGTCACCGTAACACCACAAGTTACAGCGTTCCGTAGTTTTGCGGTATTTTACGGGGTATTTTCATTCCACCATATTAGGAAATGCGAATTCCAAATATGGAATGATTACGCGCCTAAGCGTCCTCTAATAATAAAAACAAACATGGCTGCCACCAGGGTTTGACCTGACCCCACACAAAGAAGTTCGATGATTCTGTTCTAAACTTTTTGGATTTCGGAATTCCTATAATGTATCCTTGGAAGGAAAAGATGTATAATAAAAAGGTTATTACG